ACCTTCTCCTCGGAGAGCTCCTCCATGTCAACGTCGTCATCCCCAGCGCTGACCTCAGCCGCTTCGGGAGCAGCTCCTGGTACCGCACCATGTACACCATCAGGGGCCCGAGGCGCAGCCTGCTGCTGGTCCCGCGCCGCTGCCGCCTTGGCCGCATAGAGCTCCTTGAACTTGGCGAACTCAGGCGAGGCCAGCATCGTCTTGACCCCCTCCGCCTCAGGGCCCTCAAGCACAGTCGGGTCCAACTCCAGGTCGACCTCCACCTGCTGCTCGGGGGCTGAGGGCGCCACCTGCTGCATCGCCGCCTGCAGCTCAATCTTGAGGGCGTCGATGTCCACGCGCAGGCTGCGTTGTCGTTCATTGAGCTCCGCCAGCGTCCGCTGAGCCTGCTCCACAACCTTATTCTGCTCCGCAATAGACTTGTCGAGAGCCTCGAACTTCTTCTGCTTATCCGCCAGCTTGTGGCCCAACGTGGTGGCACGGGACAACACTGGCTTCTTGGACTGCACCTCCGCCCGCGCCACCTTGAGTTCGCTCTCCACGATCTCGATGGCAGACGCTGGTACTCCATCGCACTTGCGAAGAGCTTGCAATGACTCCTCCAAGTGCTGCACTCTAACACGTAGCTTGTCGTCGTCCGAAGGCGGTGCGTCTTGAGCTTCAGCACCACCGCCTCCAGCCTGGGCCGAGCCGCCGCCTCCGCCTCCGTTGGCCGCGGCACCCGCGGGAGGGGAAGACTTGGCTGCGACCTTCTCCATGATGCGCTTCTCCATTGCTGCCAGCTGGCCAGACAGATCGGCTGGGGGGCCCTTGGCCCACGCACCGCGAGGGCCGCGAGGCTGCCCAGGAGGAACGCCAGGAGGAGCACGAGCTGATGAGCCCAGGGAGGCAGCTGCGGTGCGCGCGCGCTCCACACTCGCCCTCGGGGCTGACTGCCCGCAGAGACACCGTATCCGACAAGCGAAATTCTGGTTCCTGCCACAACTTGGACACCCCCAGAAGGGCGATCGGGGCCCTGGGAGTACATCCGCCTCATCACGTCGAGCCATGCACAGCACAGCTTGTCTCAGGAAAGCTTGCTCCAGCAGGAGCTCACAAAGTAGATTCCGAGCCACAAAGACCCGCAGGAGCGGCTGCCGCTCTGAAGACAGCTCCTGCAAGCCCAAAAACTTGGGCCAGAACGGCTATGAGGATGAGGATGAGGATGAGGACGAGGACGAGGCGGCGGGAGGCAGGAGGAGGAGACGGTGGATGAGGAGGCTGACGCCTCTCCTGGTCCCTCCTGCTCCTCCTCCGCCAGCGGGGGGCAGGCAGGCATCGGGAGGCAGGGGGCTCACAAGAGGATGTGGAGAAGGAGGACGCCAACCCTCGATCCATGACCTTTTATACCTTCTTCCTCCTACACGTTGTTCCTCCGTATCACTCCCTCTCTCTCATGCTCATAGCCAATCCATCACAACAAAGAAGAAATGCTACCCGCTCACTCCCTGTCTCTCTCTCTCTCTCTCTCTCTTTTTTTTTTCTCTCTCTCTCTCTCTCTCCACATGGCTGTCCCTGCTTCTCGCAACGAGTACGTACCCAACTCCTCCTCCCCGTACTCTGTCTGCTCGCCCTGCTCTTGCTGACAATGCTGCTCATGGGATTCCCCTTCATCATCACCATCATCATCACCACCATCACCACCACCACCACCATCATCACTATCATCATCATCATCATCATCAGCAGCAGCATCATCATCAGCATCATCATCACTATCATCAGCATCAGCATCAGCATCATCAGCATCATCATCAGCATCATCATCAGCATCATCAGCATCCTTATCACCATCAACATCAGCAGCATCATCATCATCATCCTTATCACTATCAGCATCAGCAGCAGCAGCAGCAGCAGCAGCATCATCATCATCATCATCATCATCATCATCATCATCATCATCATCATCATCATCATCATCATCATCATCATTATCATTACCATGCTAATCGGCAACATCTGCGCCAATCACACTCATGACTGACATACGCATCGTCACTAGTATAATAACCACCATCGCCACCTCGTCTTAGTCATCATCGATACCTCTTCCGTATTCTTCCACCACCTCTTCGTCATCCGCGTCCTTCTCTAAATTTCTCGTGCCCTCTCCTCCACCTTCTCACCCACTCCCTGTCCCAGCCGTTGTCGTGCGGCCGCCATCTGCGCAATCGTGTTAGTCGTCGTCGTTGCTGCTGTCGCCGTCGCCGCCTCCGCAGTCGTCGTCGTCCTCCTCCTCCCTCTCCGCACCATCTCCTCCATCCTCCTCCTCCTCGGCCCCGATTCTCCGCCTCCTGCTTTTCCCCTCCCCCCGTCCCCTCCCAGAGGGGGGGGAGCCGAGAGGACGCCGGCAACCAGGACGGGGGGGGGGGGCAGAAGGAGGGGGGGAGGAGCCAGGGCGAAGGCTCGGAGACGCGGAGGGGGGAGGAGGGGAGGGGGAGCCAGGAGAAGGGCGACGAAGTCTGCGAGAAAGAACTCCATACCCATACGACCACCCTTCGGGTGATAAGGAGGTTCGGGGGGGGGAACCAACGTCTCACTCGATCGGTCTCACTATCGATCTCAGTATCGATCTCACTATCGGTCTCGCTCGATCGATCTCACTCGATCGATCTCACAATCGATCTCACTCGATCTATCTCATTCGATCGATCTCACAATTGATCTCACAATCGATCTCACAATCGATCACACAATCGATCTCACATTCGGTCTCAATATCGATCTCACTATCGCCATCACAATCGATCTCACAATCAACGTCATCAACATCATCATCATCATCATCAACATCATCAACATCAACATCATCACCAGCATCGTCATCATCATGAGGGCACCGTCATCATCATCATCATCATCATCATCATCATCATCATCATCATAAACATCATCATCACCGTCAGCATCATCATCGGGACAACATCATCATCATCATCATCATCATCACCATCACCATCTCATCATCAACATCATCATTATCATCGGGACACAGTCATCGTCATCATCATGAGCAGCATCATCATAATCATCATCATAATCGGAACACCATCATGATCACCATCGTTCTCATCGTCAACATTATCATCAACATCGTCATCATCCTCGGGACACCATCATCATCATGATCATCGCATCATCATCATCGACATCATCATCATCAACAACAACATCATCATCATTGGGGCACCATCATCATCATGAGCAACATCATCATCATCGTCATTATCATTATTATCACCATCGGGACACCATCAACATCACCATCATCATCATCATTATCGGGACACCATAATCATCATCAACATCATCATCATCAACATCATTATCGCAAGGACACCATTTCCATCAACATCATCATCACCAACATCATCGGAATCATCGGAATCATCATCATCATCATCATCATCATCATCATCGGGACACCATCATCGTCATCATCATCAACATAATCATCATGAGCATCATCATCCTCATCATCGGGACACTATCATCATCGACACCATCAACAACATCATCATCATCTTCACCGGGACACCATCATCATCATCATCATCATCATCATCATCATCATCATCATCATCATCATCATCATCATCATCATCATCTCATCATCATCATCATCATCATCATCCTCGCGGGACACCGCGGGACACCGGCGGGACACCGCGGGACACCGCGGGACACCGCGGGACACCGCGGGACACCGGGGGACACCGCGGGCCACCGGCCGCCCGGAAGGGAGTCATTTGGTCCGGCCGCGCCTCAGCCACACGGGACACCAGCGGGACACCGGCGGGACACCGGCGGGACACCGCGCGCCACCGGCCGCCTTGCGGAGAATCATTTTGTCCGGCCGCGCCTCAGCCACAAGAGACTTCCCTCTCGCCCGCCCACGCAGCTTCGCCTCGCCCGCACGGCACGCACGAACACGAAACCGAAATCGATTTCCCGGTAGGGGGGCTCTCCGTTCCACTTCGATCTCACCGTCTCACCCCCCAACCTCCGACAGGTCCACCAGATGTCGCATGTATATCGATGAGGTGCATCGATGTCGTCTGCGTGTACAGACGAAAAGCATACGGTTCCACTATACATATCTGAATATATATATATATATATATATATATATATATATATACCTGGCGTTATGTTGCTCCCATCGTACTTAAGGACCACATCCCAAAAATAATTTCGAGCACCCAGAAAAGTGTCGAAATGATGTCGAGACAGTGTCGAAAGGGTGTCTCCCGGGGCCCGACACGTGAAGCCCTCCAGGTTTGGGGGTGTCTTCTCTTGGTGCTCGAAAATTTCGTTCTGGCGGTCAAGGCTAAAGCAGGTTGGAACCTCATAGCCCCAGCGGCGAGATGTACGGTCGGGCTCGGGACAGGAGGACGTCCTTCAAGAACAAAGACCCTCCGCCGGCCAGGCCGCAGAGCATGCGAGGGCACCCCCCCACCCCAGGATGCGCAAGAGCACCAGGCAGGCACGAAGAGCGGCAGCGGACCCGCCCCCCACCGACCTCGGACCTCATACTATGGGGGCAAACAAAACGGACCTCGCTCTTGACAACCCCTCGCTTCCAAGAGATACCAGTCGATGCCAGACTGCGGCCTGTACTGGTCAGGCCGCTTGACGAGGAGGCGCGTGGTACGACTTGTGTTTGCCTGGAAGCGAAAGCGGGGTAGGTAATTCACGCTCTGACATACGTCGTCCCAGCCGTACAGATGGAAAGAGAACCGACGCCACAAGCATAAGCTCTTGGCGCTCCACGCGGACTTCTTGGCTCCGCGCTGGACCTCCTGGAAGCGCAACCGGCGCCGCCCCTGGCGCGCTCCACGCGCCAGGGAGGGCGCGCTCCGCGCAGAGCGCCAAAAGCTTATGCTTTGTTTGATGGAGTTGTTCCTTCTTCGAAGAGATCTCGTCGCCCGAAGGAGGAAGGACAGGGGGAGACGAGCTCCAGCTCGGCGTCCCCGGCAGCGCTGGGCGCGGTGTCGGAGATCGCGCGCTTCGCGCGACGGCCTCCGCCGGCCCCGCCTCGTCGCCACTGCCGTCGCCGCCGTCGGAAACGTCGGAGACGTCGTCGTCGTCGTCGTCGTCGTCGTCGTCGTCGTCGTCGTCGTCGTCGTCGTCGTCTTCCTCCTCCTCCTTCTCCACGCATTTTCCTGATGCGCACCTCTTCCTTTCGCACCCCGAGGCCGGCCGAAAGGGCGGGCCGTGCGTTTCGGCTCAAATTTTCTGACAATTTACGACCCTGGAGCCAAAAACATTGGCAAGGGCTTCGCAAATTCAGAGCAGGTGGTTTCTAAAGAAAATGTGGCTCTCGCCTTCGCGCCTGCCAATTCTCTTCAAACGTTGCGAACGCTTCACGGATTGCGGGCTCGTTTTTTTCAACATCGCCTTAGCGCCGCGCAAATTCGTTCCCAACACAAATTGCAAGAGCTTCACGGATTGAGGGAGGCTCCTTTTCAAAATGTGGCTCTCGCCTTGACACTAGCGCGGCGCAGACCCGTCTTAAACAATTGCAAAAGCTTCACACATCGAGGGCGGGTGATTCTCAAACTGTGGCTCCAGCTTTAGCGCCGCGCACATTCGTTTAGAAAATGCAAGAACTCCGCGGATTTAGAGCGAATGGTTGTCAAAATGAGGCCCTCGCCTTAGCGCCGCGCGCGTTCCATAGGTTGGAAGTCAAGAAAATAAGGCAAACGCGCGCCGGAGCACCCAGGGCAACCCAGGGCACCCTGGAGGCAAGTAGGGTGTTTCTTGGCATGGGCCTTCACTGTAGATCCGCCAACGTGCCTGCGGCACGTGGAGGCGTTGAAGACTGCCAAGGGCTGCCTGGCAGGCTTTTCCAATTCTTCTCACAGGGACCACTCGCTCGTGGTCCAGCAGACTGGAGACTGCACCACCCCTACTCCCGGGAGGGTGCCCGTGGCGTCCATGATGCCTCCCTGAGGCTCTCCAAGGCTGCCGTGACGACGCAGGAACCCCACCCAGGCCCTCAAAAGGCCTCCGAGACAGCCCAGGACCGACCCAGGACGCCCAACATGGCCCCAAGACTGCCCAGGAGGCCCCACCGAAGCTCCAGAAGGACCCCCCAGAGAGCACACAGAAGCAAACATAAGTGATGTTCATTGTAGTTCCCCACATGTTTCGAAGGGTTCTGGTTTTCTTCCCTGCCGCGCCGCACCCGCGACACTCACACACTCACACCTCACTCTTCCCCTCCTCTTCTTCCTCTCCCCACCCGCGCTCAACACATGCAGCAACATGCACGGCAAGTACATGAGACACGCGTCTACATACAGCCGCACGCATGCACGCACTCGCACACACACACACACACACGCACGCACACACACACACACACACACACACACACACACACACACACACACACACACACACACACACACGCGGCACAGCTTAGCACAGCTCAGCTCAGCTCAGCACAGCACAGCACAGCAGAGCACAGCACACCACAGCACAGACTAGCACAGCACAGCACAGCACAGACGGTCGTCCAGGCACAGCAGGCGTGGCACTTTCTCTACAGCACAAGGGGGTGCGCAGGGGGTGGTCCCTGAGCTCGGCCGAAAAGCACGACGGTCGTCCAGGCACAGCAGGCGTGGCACTTTCTCGACACCATAGGGGGTGCGCAGGGGGTGGTCCCTGAGCGCGGCCGCTATGCACGACGGTCGTCCAGGCACAGCAGGCGTGGCACTTTCTCGACACCAAAGGGGGTGCGCAGGGGGTGGTCCCTGAGCTCGGCCGCTATGCACGACGGTCGTGGCAGGCGTGGCATTTCCTGGGCGCCGAAAGGGGGTGCGCTGGGGGTGGGGGCCCTATGCGCTGCAGGCTCCCAGAGCGTGGCAGGAGTGGCGTTTCCTCGCCGCCACATGGGGGTGCGCTGGGGGTGGGGGCCCCATGCGTTGCAGGTTCCCTGGGCGTGGCAGGCGTGGCCTTTCCTCGACGCCACAGGGGGTGCGCTGGGGGTGGAGGCCCTATGCGCTGCAGGTTCCCAGGGCGTGGCAGGCGTGGCATTTCCTGGGCGCCACAGGGGGTGCGCTGGGGGTGGAGGCCCTATGCGCTGCAGGCCCCCAGGGCGTGGCAGGCGTGGCATTTCCTGGGCGCCACAGGGGGTGCGCTGGGGGTGGGGGCCCTATGCGCTGCAAGCCCCCAGGGCGTGGCAGGCGTGGCATTTCCTCGACGCCACAAGGGGGTGCGCTGGGGGTGGGGGCCCTATGCGCTGCAGGCCCCCAGGGCGTGGCAGGCGTGGCGTTTCCTCGGCGCCGAAAGGGTTGCGCTGGGGGTGGGGGCCCTATGCGCTGCAGGCTCCCAGAGCGTGGCAGGCGTGGCATTTCCTCGCCGCCACAGGGGGTGCGCTGGGGGTGGGGGCCCCATGCGCTGCAGGCTCCCAGGGCGTGGCAGGCGTGGCATTTCCTCGACGCCACAGGGGGTGCGCTGGGGGTGGGAGCTCGTATCTTGTCAAGAACTGTAAACACCTTGGCTCAAGCCGACTCGGCGCGCCTGCGCTCTCACGCGGGCGCGCTCCTCTAGTCCTACTTCAGAGCACCGCCCGACCTGCGCGGCAGCCATGCCTCCCAAAATCGCCGTGGACGCGCTGCCACCTCCATGTTTGGCGATGAAGATAGCAATGATTCAGATGGGCGGCGAGGTTAGCGTGGAGACCTCCCGCAGATGCGCCAACGGAGTGGTGCAGTCCGCCTTGAATGCGCACCGCCGCCAGCTTCACAATTGGTGGCCCGATACGCTCTACGCGAGGTACTCGGAGTTGAACGACGACGGCAAGAGGCAGTGCTTGGTGGCGCACCCGCAGAAACCTGCGTCGGGCGAATTCCCCCAGGAGGCTCTTTTAGACAACGGCGGCGGCCCGCCGGCGACGGCGCGGCGAGTGCGCGAGGCCGGCAGCGCGGCGGCTGACAGAGGCCCCCGCCGCAGCGTTTGTCGCGCCTCTGAAGGCTACACCGACGAAGGACACGCCAACGAAGGCCCCGCCCATGCAGACTTGCACTCCGAAGCGGTCCCCGGCTTTGCTGCTGGCTACCTCTGTTCGTTCCACTGGCACTCCTCGCGCTCAGCTTTCCCCCGGGCCCGCGGAGGCGGACGAGCGCTGGTGGCAAGGACCTTGGTCGCGGAGCCTGCGACGGTCGGTCGCGGCGACCTGTTTGTGCGCCCTGGCGGAAAAGAAAGCTGTCAGATGGTACAATTCGTTTGCAGAGAAACGGGCGGTGGATCCACAGTTCCAACCGTCCAAGAGGGGTGCCGATGCAAGCTTGTGGCAGGCTCTCAACAGGTACTCCAACGGCCACCACCCGAGCTACGAGATGGATGTTCCCACCCTCCGATTGCTCGCATTGCAGCCTGACGTGCTCGGCGCAGCTAGAGCCAAGTTCTACGGGGAGGTGAGCGACGTCGCGACCCGCTGATCGAGCTCCTCGCCTGCATGCGCCACGCGCGACGGATCCCCGACTATGTCTGGGTTGCCTTCCAGGCTCTGGTTGCCGCCGACTGCGCGACCGACTCTCGCGCCATGGGCGCGCCGCTGGTCTTCCTGCAGTCAAAGGGCGAGGGCGTCTCCTGCGGCGCGCCACAGGAAACAGTGGAGGCTTGCAAAAGGGTGCTGAACGTGCCGAACCCTTGCGAGACGGGGCACATGCACGGAGTTCTCCCAGCGCACGTGGGCATGGAGGTGAGATTCACCGTCAAGGTGTCCAAGCGCAAGAGCTTGGTCCAAGAGCAGAAGGCCACCACAGTGAGCTTCGTGTTCGGGAGCAGCGACCAGGTCAGGTACGACGCGTGCGCGCCAGGAGAGATCTTCCGCACGCGCTTTCTGCCTGCCAGAATCTGGATGCAGGTGCACAAGTTTGAGAAACAGAGCCCGGACGTGGTCGCCGCCCTTACCAACTCTTTCGGAATCGACAAAGAGAAGGCGAACGGCCTGTTCTGCTTCCCGCTCATGGAGGCGAGCTTCAAGTGGACAAGCGCCAACAGAACGCACCGGGTCAAGAAGTTCGGGTACGCGCTCGCGCACGGGCGCTTCCTGACATCCACCGCGTCACAGGGCCAGACGATCCGCACCAGGGTGACCATCGACTGCGCGCAGGACACGAGCATTGGCAAGCCGGGGGAAAGATGGGAGACCTGGTGGCTCCACCTGCACGTGATGCTCAGCAGAACTACTTTGCATGGAAGACATGCTCTTGCTTCGGCCGCCGCCACGGGAGGTCTTGCAGAAGGGTTCCACCTCCGTCCGCGCTCAAAACCCCCCAGAAGTTAGACGAGCGCATAGCTACGGAGACGCGGGAGATCGAGGACCTCGCTCTGGAACGCCAGTGGATCTTGCCGACGGCGTGAGGTCATTGGAGCGCACGGCCGCAAGAGTCTTTCCGACGAAGGCGGCGCTGTCCAGCCGCGTCGAATTCGCGCGGCCCGCTCCGCTCCTGGACGATTTCGGAGCGTCCGCCCAACTTTGGGTGTCGTGGCAGCCGCAGCCCAGAGATTTTCCATCGAAGGGCACTCGCATTTTGCACGCAGGCGGGCCATGTTTGCCATGCAAGTCTTCTGCGCGCGCACCTCAGAGACCCTCCGTCGAAGAGACGCGGCGACAGACGTGTGGAAACTGCATGAGACTAGAAAAAATGAGCCGACCGAGGAAAAAAAGGGAGGCAAGGGTGCGGAAGAACGCAGCATGAGGCGAGGGAGAAAGGATAATTCTAGAGGCTCCGTAGAGCAGCTGTGCAAGGGGTGTGATGTGCACCAATTTCTACAGTGGGCCCCCTGACTACTCGAGCTGTGGCAAATCGTTCTGCATCACCTCATTGCTTGTTGCGACCCCAGGAAACGGCTTTCGGTGACCACCCCGAACTTTTTCCCGATGAAGGATGGAAGGTGGGGAAGAGGGAGGATGTTCAATCAGTAGTGTGATGGATGACAATATAGGGAAACATTCGCGACGAGGGTTTAGAACGCAGGATTGCGCATAGATGGTAATGAAAAGCAAGCGCATAAGATTTATGTTAAGTA